TAAAATAATAAATCAGTATCCCACCATAATGACAATAACCTTGATCACAAGTTTCTTGAAAGAGTGGATGCAGTAGAGGTGGATATTATTTATCCTGAAGTGTAATAATACAGATTAATACCACATATTTACATTTAATTGCAATTTTTGCAGGGGGATGAGGATTAAGAATTGGGAACAGTGTGTCTTCTTCCTGTAGATCTTTCCTCCTCCACAATCCCAAATACCTGTTTTTATTGCTTTTGTTTGCATAATCAGAAGCTCCATGGTGAGACAATCCAGCTCTGTTGGTGATCCCTTATTAAACTTTCCCATTGAGCTCACATACACAGCTTCTGGGGCGCATGGTGAGAACATGTGCAGGATGACAGACAGCTCATGTCCTGACAGCTTTTGGCAAAGCTGCATTATTTCGCAGAGGACACTCCATCTGTCACTATATTCAGCCACCGAAACTGACCTCAGTGGTACTAAGGAAGCCCTGGCAGATTAACATTTAATGATGCTTTCAGCTTGAGCCCTTATAATTTTTCATCTTCCAGGGGCAATCACAGAACAGGAAACAAGCAGCATGGCGTATGGAGTATTGCTGGCAGCAGCAGTGAGGGGTTGTCTTGGCTGTCCTTGCCAACACAATCTGACTTGCTTTATGCTGATTTTGTTACCTAAGAGAAATTAAATTGCCTCCTGAATGGACAGACAAACAGACATAGGCATAATCAAAACTGGATTTACACTATCAATATTTCATCATAGTTTCCTCAGAATTATCACCCAGTATGGCAGTGGGTCTAAATGAGAAGTGGGAGAGCTTTGGCCATTGAAGGGGCAATTTTCCTCTGGGCCATACTTCCTCCAAAAAAGCTTTAAATTTATAGTGTTTGATTTTGCAGCTGACAAATAATAATTACATTATCTAGGACTATATGTTGGAAGCAAACCATCCAGCTACAAATCTGATGTTGAATCCACAAACCCCATGGCTTAACAACCATCCACAAATGGAAAAACCATCTCTACTGATGAAATCCCTCTACGTTGTTTGAACCCAGAAAATATATAAATATAAGTAGCATAGTAACATCTGAAGTTGTCTTATACAGAGTCAGAGCATTGGTCTGTCTAGCTTAGTCTTGCCTACACTAATTGGCAGACTGATCCTAAGGCCTCTGATATGTAAAGGATATATTATACTATTGTGCTCTCTTATAGCACATCTTGAGTTGAACATGCTTATGAAATGGTCCCTCAATGGCACCCATGCATGCCATCCAAACATTGATTGGTCATGAAAAGCTTGGGAAAATTCCAAAGCTAAGGGATTCTGAGAGTTGTAATCTATGCTGTACTGTACATACCATGGTTTGATGACAAACTTACATGGAATTACTAAATTGTCATACCTATTTTTCTAAATATTTAATGAAAGTCTACACCAGGGGTAGGCAACCTTTCCCCTTTAAGGACCAAGGGACTTCAGCTCCCAGAAGCCTCAGCCATGTTGGCCAATAGCTCCTGGGATTCTGGGAGCTGAAGTCCCTCGGCCCTTAAAGGGGAAAGGTTGCCTACCCCTGGTCTATACCATGGCCACTGTGTTAACCTGGATGCAACCTGAGTAAAAATAAAAAGGCCAAAATGCAAAATTAGCAAAATAAATATTATTTTATAATTATATTGCCATGACAATTTTTTTCTTGCAGCAAAGGAAAAAAAAATGAAATTTGCTTCTACTACACCACAATCCATGTGATTTCCTCTGAATAGAGCATTAAATGCAGTTCTATACTTGCATACTCAAAGACACATCACATTGTAGTCACCAGGATATAGTTGAAATGACTTATATTGGATTACATCCTACATACTGAGGGAAAAGACATGACTTAATGTAGCTCGAGACAATGGAAAGTGCCATTTATTAACCAATTGTTTTTTTAATAAAATAAAGAACTGCAGTTCTAAAGGTTCTGCAACAATTTTAGAAGGCAAAATAAAAAATAATAAATACAGCAATTTTGAGAGTGATTTGACTGAAAATAGAGAAATGAATAATTAACTTCATTTTGGTCCCCAGTTCACTGAAGCTAGTTACTTGAGCTGCCTTTTGATTCTAATAATGGTTAAAGAGTTTTTTCTGTGAACGGGAATGTATTTCTGTCAATAATGGTTGTGCTCTAAACAGTGCCATGATATAGCTCTAAACTGGAGCAATCTCACATGTCTTCTTCCGTGGCCTTGCAAGTTTTAAAGACCAAGTTTAAAACATAATCTCTGCATTTTACCTTCTGATAATCCAGCAAGGACCCCTTAATGCTCTAGAGTCAAGTTACCAAGTTACTGTTATAAAATTGGGAGATGGGACAGCATCATAGATGAGTTCTCAGACTTCCTTGGTAGTCAGTGGCAAAGTTGACAAGTGCCTCTTCTGCTAAGGACATTGCTGGCTGAGGGGTCTCAACAGCTGGATTTTTGCCACGTTTTTGTAATAAGTTACAAAGGTATATCCCACCCTCCGACAACACTAATATAACATAGATCTTTGTGGCAGGGGGGATGTAGAAACCACACTTTGAATTTTCTATTAAGGAAGACAACGTTGAATTTTGGGCTCTGTAAATTGTGGGGCATTTGGTAGTGAGATCTGATGTGGACCACTGGAATTGGCTTCTGGAATATTTAAGATGGTTAACTCCAGCTATGTTTAGTTTGTGTATTTGTAAATAAACTTAAATATTATCAAACACCAATAAACCTCCAATACCTTCCTTCCAAAGAAAATCAAATGTGGGTAAGCATCATATCTCTGAAACTTATCACTGTTTGGAGAAGTGAAACAAAGATGGTGGAGGAGCTAGAAAGGAGTGATCTCCACTATGGAAATAATGCAGTTTGACACCACTTTAAATGCTGTAGCTCCATCCTATGGAATCCAGGGATTTGCAGTTTTACAAAGTCTTTAGCCTTCTCTGCCAAAGTGTGCTAGTGCCTCACAAAACTGCAAATCCCAGAATACTGTAGGATGCAGCCATGGCAGTTAAGGTGGTGTCAAACTGTATTATTTCTATAATGTAGATGCAGCCTCTGTGTTCTTGAGAGAACTTCTTACTGGAAAGGAAAGCGGGGATAAGTCTACTGATATGTTAAAACCAGTGTTTAGATCATGAGGGGGAAGACTGGAGGGCCTACCCCATAGATCCCTTGCCAAGTATGTAGGTATATATGTATTTTATTTTACTTATATTACATTTTTTCCCCCAGCAAAGGAGCATTAGGGCTTAGAAATGCTTGCCATATTAACTAGAGGATTCTGGAAAATATAGTGGGGGGAAAATACCTTTACTAAGCTGTGCTAGTTTTAGTACATCAACAGTCCCCATCTGCTCTATTCATCTAAGAAGAGAAGCCAAGAGGACCATCACAAAAGGTAAGTGGTCTGGGCCAGGTTTTCCCTTGCTCTTCTCAAATGTCAAAAACTGTATAGAAAGAATGAAAGTTATCTAATCAACATAGTCAATGGCTCCTCCTGCTTACAGCATAAGAACTGAATGAGCAGAACAAGGGACAACCATTTTAAAGACAAAGAAATTCAACTGAGGCAGCAATATAAACTAATATGTACAAATCTTTCCCTTGTGCTAGTATGAGCTGTGGTCAACATTGATGAAAAAGATGTAGCCACTGGAAACAGAAGATTTCCCTCCCCCATAACAAAAAAATAATTTGGTTTTAAATCCCATTCATAAAAAAAGCAGCCTCCACTACCACCACTTATTCTGATTACTCACAAACTGTTTTATCTCTGGTCATGTAGGGTCATATAGCAACTTCCTTTGCTGGTTGAAGGGATAAAGCAGACACCCCAGATTGGGAAAGAACTAATCAAAAAAACTTTAATCGTTCCAAAGCTTATATAAGAAACAAGCCAGCAATAGGGCCTTGACTGGACAGGTTTGTGATTTACAATTCTGATCAGAGTCTAATGGAAATAGGTAGGATTGGTTAACAACACAAGCCTCGAGAGGATAACTGAAATACAAAGATGACCTTGCTAAAAAGCCCACAGTGGATGCAATCTCATTGCTTCTCAACACACTGAAACTATAGCCAGCTGTCAGGAGAAACAACTGCTCTCTGGACAGAAGCCAGAGAAAAATAAAAGCTTTAATTCCTTCCCAGCATTGATTTACTCTCTCTTTCTCTCTCTCTCTCTCTCTCTCTCTCTCTCTCTCTCTGTGTGTGTGTGTGTGTGTGTGTGTGTGTGTATCAGCAAATGCCTGCCAGTTCTCCAGTAACTAGAAGAGTAAGTGGGTCAGGGAACTGTGTTGAATTCATTCACAGCTTCAGAGGAAGGCAAAGGCAAACCCCCTTTGAACAAATCTTGCCAAGAAAACCCCATGATAGGGTCACCATAAGTCAAAAATGATTTGAAGCCACACAACAACAAGCCAGGATTTGAACCCTAGTTTCCAGAGTCATAGTCCAACGTTCAAACCACTACATCATCCTGGCTCTTACTGGGTGGCCATTTACAGAGCTATTATAAATGATGACAAAAGAGGGCAGAGATGTGCATACAATTTGCATGTGCTAATTAAAATATATATAAGTACCTATTTAGAAATAATTGTTGTAATTTTAATTGTATCACTGATCAGGTGATAAATAATGTCTGTTCAATTGTTAATTGTTAGGAGGAAACTATCCTTTCTTGTGGCATTGGATTCCAAGCACCACCATTTTTTAAAAATGTAAAACAAAACAAAAAAAACCAAGGAGATAACACCTTTCAAGGCTAATATAGCATCTTCCTACAAGAGACTGTTGTTATTGTTGTTGTTGTTGTTGTTGTTGTTGTGTCCCTTCAAGTCATTTCTGACTTAAGGCAACCCTAAAGTGAACCTATCATGGGGTTTTCTTGTTAATATTTGTTCAGAGGTTTGCCATTGCCTTCCCCTGGGATGAGAGAATGTTACTTGCCTAAGGTCCCCCAGTGAGTTTCATGGCCGAGCTGGGAATCGAACCCTGGTCTCCTGAGTTGGAGCAATACTCATACCACTACAACATGCTGGCTCTAACAAAAGAGGTGTAGTTGCCTTATTTTATCACTAAAAATATTGGTAATCATTTGCTCACGAGTACTATTGCTGCAGCACTTCTAGTCCACCTTTCATAATCTAATCTAATCTAATCTATTTGTCTATCTAATTTAATTTAATCCCCACCTTTCTCCCAGGATGGGACCCAAACCAGCAACTTCAATTTGTCAGTAATTACATAGTACTTGTTGATTTCAGATGCAATCTGTCCAGGTATGTTTCTTCTGAAAGCAGTGTGATTGATGTGTGTTTAATTATCTGCAGGTTGCCAGTCAGCTTAAACATTTATAACCAACTTTCACAACTGGAATCGAGTACCATCACTGTACTGAAGGCAGGCAACTTCTAGATGCTTGTTGGACTCCATTGGCTGGACTAACTAGGGCATATGGAAATTGAAGCCCAGCAATCTCTGGAAAGTCACAGGTTGGCTGGCCTCCTGCTGTACCAGTACCATTACTATTGCTGGCTAGTCAACTTCTAATTTCTTGTATTTCTTGCTTTCTCATCAGTCTGCTGTCCACTGTATGGAACCTGTTTGTTCAGGAAATTTCCCATTTTGCTTTGCACCCAGTTTATTTTTTTTATTTTTTTTTTTAGCGTCATGTTAATATTTGGGTTCCTGATCAGTGTGCACTTTGCAGCATTTTCCTACTTATGCTTTCTGGAGGAGTTCTGGGTACTGTAGCACCGAATCCTTAGGGGAATTTTATAATTAGCTCAAAT